CCCCACCTTGAAAACCCCTGCTGTAATGTATTTTCTTACAATAAAACACCTCTTCTTTTGATTTGTAAATGCATCAAACCCCACAAATTTCGGTCAGGTAATTTAAGGTAGTTTTACACAGCCATCTTCGCTGTGAGTTTTGTTCTCATGGTTACAAAGACTTCTCTAATCAGTGGATCTCACTTAAGGATTGACAATAACGTACATGTTGAATTTGTCAATTAAACATGATTTAAAAAAAAAAAAAACATACCAACTTATTGGCTTAATGTACCTTTGCCAAAGACTGTTTATATACCAAGACAGTTCACTCATATTCCTGCAAGATGCAAGAAATGCAAGAAACCGCAGCACGCAATATGATATAGCGTAATAGATCCCACCTTCTAATAAAAACAGCTAATTGCCTTCTGTTGAAAGTGCAGGTTCCCATAGAAACAGTCAATGTCCTGAGACACATGCTTGGGAATGCACGTGCATTGGCTGGACCAACATGAAACGTATGCTTTTTAATGCTATTTGACCATTTTTTTTTTCAGTATTTAATTTAAGTATTAAATTTAATTTCAGTATTTCCCCATTTAGGCAGATAGGAGTTGGTTTTGCGTGCAATTTACATAATATTACAAATTTTTCTATATCTGTCTGTCTATCTATCTATCTATCTATCTATCTATCTATCCTATCTTTCTATATCTGTCTGTCTATCTATCTATCGGTCTATCTATCAACGCATTAAATTGATCCAAAGTGTCAGTAAAGTCACTTATAATGTTACAGAATATTTCTATTTCGAATAAATGCTGTTCTTTTTAATTTTTGTCATTGAAGAATCTTGAAAAAGTGACGGGGGGGAATTAGTGTTCGTCAACTCATGTCTATATCTATATCTATATCTATATATATATATATATATATATATGAAGAGTTCCAATGCAAAGGCCTCTAAAAGTCATCTTGGTCAAAAATGAGAATGATACTGAGTGAATGCTCTCCACTAGGGCTGTAAAAAAAAAAAATATTCAAATTTCGAATATTCGTCGAATTAAAAAAGAAATCCAGATTCAATTGCAAAAACGTTGCATTCGAATTTAAAGGGGTCATATGATGCTTTTTTAAAGATCATTATTTTGTGTATTTGGTGTAACAGAATATGTTGACATGCTTTAATGTTAAAAAAAAACATTATTTTTCAAATACTGTACATTATTGTAGGTCCTCTATGCCCCGCCTCTCTCAAACGCTTCGTTTTCTACAAAGTCCCTCCTTCCGACAAGCGCAGTCTGCTCTGATTGGTCAGCTGACCCAGTGCATTGTGATTGGCCGAACACTGCAAGCACTCGTCGGAAATGTAACGCCCCTTACCATAATCACGAGCTTCATCTTTCAAAATAAATGTAAAGATAGTAAATAATGTCATTAGTTTGACCATCAGTTCAAGCCCGAAAGGGGAACAGAGTCACAGGGTGTGTTAGAACGAGCCGTTTTAGGGGGGCGTGGCAGAGTCTTAACTTTGATAAAGAATATCTCTTTGGTTTTGAGACTTTAGTCTTTGCAACTTCAGGGATCTTATCTATGCACAATCAGCTTGTAACACTCCAAAGACAAAGGAAAACTTGAAATCGCATTATATGACCCCTTTAAGGTCTGCGTCAGCTATCAGGCAGCCTTATCAGTGGCGCACGAAATGCGATGACCATGTATGTGTCATTGATTGCATTTGAATGCTTTTGTTAGCCTATCCAGTTGAACCCACTAGATGCGGTGCTGCTATGTTGTTCATTCATATATTGCGGAAAATGAGAGCATCAGTTTGGAGAAGATGTTGTTTACGTCAAAACTGAAACCAAGCCGTTAATGCAAGTTCAACTTTTAAAAAACATGTCTAAAGACATGGCGGTTTTCCCCATCCCACTGTATCTCATGTTTTTAAATGAAGAAAGTAGCCTACTCTTTGTGATTGGTTTTCAGTCCTTTGTATTAAACTATACATACATGCATGGTGCTGTTTTTTTACTAATTGTTTAAGCAACTTTATTAATTATATATGGTTTATAAACATTTTAAACATTATGCACTTTTTTTCAAAGATAGTCGTGTTATTTTATTACGCTTTGAAGAAACATGCATAATATTTTGCTCGATGCGCCCTCTTGTGGCCTCAGGAGAGAAGCCAAATGCTTTTTTCCCCCTAACTGATTAATTATGCCTTTTAAATTAGAATATATTTTGAATTTTGATAATATTTAAGTAGAAAATTCAAATTGAGTTTTTCAGTCATTTTGACAGCCCTACTCTCCACACATAGTATATGTTTATCAAGTACTTTCACTTCAAATGTTCTAAAATCCCAGCCTCAACCCATTCAGAAGTACCAGTACTTACATAGAAACCTATACGTAGTAGCCAGAAAGAAATGCCAAACCGTTTTTTTTTTTTTTTTTTTTTACATAAATCCAACTATTGCAGCCTATAAGCATTAGACAAACAATAAGGAATTAGACAAACAATAAAGAAGACACAGCAGAGGGTATAAAGAGAATGTAAACGGCTCGGGTGGGGGGTCTCTTACATGTCAGGAGAGTGAACCGTGCTGACGTGGCCGGCGTACAGGAGTTTGTCATCCATAGGGATGAGGACCCGTAACCCATCCTGCAGTTCATCTTTGTTAATGACACAGTTCCGAGGGGCTGGGGGAAAAACAGAACAGAGGGAGATGAGAAGAGGCATGCCGAAACTTGTGCTACTAAATAAAACCTGAGACATCTCATCACCACCTTAAAACTGCAAATGTTCAAGAAAATAGCTATCTTCCAAAACCCACGGAGCTGCCTATGGATGCAAAATTTTAATGTGAAAACGGTTCCCAAAAGTAATTTAAGTATCTCATTTAAGCCAAATTCTAAGACAGCATCACATGTATTACTCGCACAGAAGTTAATCCCAGAATGCATTGTGACCAGGTCAATGAAAAAAAACAAATCTATGAATTAAAATGAAATCAGTTGCGAACAATCATGAATTGTGCCTCTCTCTCATGGTAAGGGCTATTTGTGTGACACACAGTGTTGCTGTCTACACAGAATGTTTCAAATCATTCACTTGTAAGGTTTCATGACGGTTATCATACCGTTATTGTAGGTAGCAAGCAGCTCACAAGGTTTTCAAATCAAGTTAATGCGTGCAGTAACTCTCAGCTCGTCCCATTAACGTATGAATGCAATCAGGCCAAATCAATTTTCTGATTTTTAATGCTGGATTAGGATAAAATAGGCTGTGAAATTATATCTCCTTAACATCATTCAAAAGACATTCACTTTTAATTGCATGCATGGACAAGAAAATGAAGTCTGATTTAGTCATAAAACAGCAATTAAAAATGGGGGAGCAATGAAGGGAAAGAGCTCTGCGACCTTGCTGACGAGGGAATGTGAAAGCGTCTCACCGGGAGTGCAGGGTCTTTCTGGCTGAGCGCTCACAGGGGGATTCTCATCCTCGGAGAAGCTGCTGTCCTGGTTGGGCTCAAAGTCCTCATCAGCAGCCATACTTTCCATCAGTTTGCTGACAGCACCGCCCTTCCCTCGAGCCTGCTGGGGGAATTCAAGCACATTTTGCCCCAATTCCTGTGACAATGAAATATTGAACACTGAGCCATTGTTGGTTCAGTTCTAAAGATGAGACCCATGTGCTTACTAGAGGAGAATTGATTCAGTAAAACCCATTTAGATGAGTGACATGCTCGGCTCTCAGATTTCAAATGCGGCAAATACCCAGAGGAGTTCCCGAGCTTCTGCACTGTGCATTAAAACACGTGATTTATACATAAGATGAATAATAGCAGCGGCAGAGAGTTTTAAAATGCAGTGGAGGTTTATCTTGAGAAGAAATAAATAAATTGTTCAGAAGGGGTGGAGAAATGGATGGAGCGAGGTGTCGTTTGGTTAATTTCACTGCTTGCCTGCTGAGTGTGCAGTCTAATTAGGCTTGCTGGCTCTACTGCACTCGGCCTTTTTCTCTCTCCTTCTTTCCCATCTCACCTCCCTCCCTTTGGTCACGGTGGGTACTGAGAGCAGGCCCATACAGACTGGGACAGGGGAGCAGGAAGGGGTGGCTCATTTAAATGCAAGGCTTTTCCCAATAGGCCTCGAGCCTGCCAGGTAAAATTATTCTGATGCCTTTCAGTGTTTCTCCTTGGCCTCACAGTGTAGCACAAAATGGCTCCGTTTCAAATATTTATTTGTGTCATGTTAAAAATGTGAGTTAATTCACAGTGCATCATGTTTTTTATGTACTAAGAGTGTTAAGGCAGACCAAACAAATGCAAAAGGAGGATATTTTTTGTCATCGACCATAAAATTGGTAGCTATAATATAATATAATACAATATAAATAAAAAATTTGGGCTTGGTATGATTGTTTTGGGAAGAAGTCTCCAATGCTCACCAAGGCAGCATGTGAAATATTATTACAATTTAAAATAACCTCTCTCTATTTGAATAGATTTTAAAATGTAATTTATTCCTTTGATGCAAAGCTGAATTTTCAGCAGTCATTACGTCAGTCTTCTTTGTCACATGATCCTTCAGAAATCATTCTAACATGCCGATTTGCTGCTCAAGAAACATTTCTTCTTATTATTAATGTTGAAAACAGTCATGCTGCTTAATGTTTGTGGAAACCATGATAATTTTTTTCAGGATTATATGATGAATAGAAAGTTCAAAAGAACAGCATTTGTTTGAAATATTTTGTAACAATATAAGTGTCTTTACTGTCATTTTGGATTATTTAATGCCCCCTTGCTGAATAAAACTATTATAAAACTATATATAATAAAACTATTTCTTTAAATAATTAAAAATCTTACCGACCACAAACTTTTGAAATAGAAATATAAAAGAGCTTATATAAGATTAACAACACTAAAAAAATTAAATAAAGTACTTATTAACCCAGTTGATGTTTGTTGGTAGATCTTAGAATTGTCTCAAGAGGAAACTACCATTTCTGTTCATCAGCCAAAAATGTTTTTAAATATTGTTCAATTTATCACTTATTAGCATTGCAATGTTAGCTGAGTTACCTCTCTGGCTTTGGGCTTCACCTTGCTCTTGCGCCCTGGGCTGACAGGGAGAGCTCCGGTGCTGTCCGAGGGTGTACTGGAGAGCTGGGGTGGGGGCAGACACAGGGGGGTCTCCTTAATCCTCTTCTTCTGGAGCATTCACACCAGATACAAAGCCAAACTTAACACCCCTACTGAGTGACTACTCAAAGCACAATGTGTTTTCATCTGCCAGCCCCTTTCAACTCCCTCACTCGCCGGCGCACATGCACGACACAGCACAACAAAAGACAGCCAATAACAATGCATCACCATGTCACCTGGGAATTCAAGTCCCATGGGCTTAGAAAAGCAGCTGATGTCACATTCGAGAGATTACAGATGAACCTAAGAGTGTAGGAAAAGATCCAATCCATTCAGAAAGAGCACTTCCTTACCCAGAAGGCTCTGCCGTTCCTCTTTCTTCTTGGCTTTCTGTTTAGCCTCCAGTTGGACAACCGAGAGCGGACTGGTGACAACGGGGCTCGGGATAGCGCTGGCGGCGAAACGGGCCAGAAGACCCAGCCCGCTCTCTTCTACGGAAGATGAACACAGGCCGTCGCTTTCATCAAGCTCGTAATCATACCCATCTTCATCCTCGTCGTCATCATCATCATAATCATTCCGCTCGGTAAAATACTCTGTTAACAATGGAAAGAAAATCATTTAGGATTTTTGACTTATGAAAATTATATGAAGTTCAGAAATTGATGATGAAGCCTGTGACATTCCATCATATAAAGCAGGGCTCTAAAACGCCAGTCCTGGAGGATCAGTGTCCTGCTGAGTTTAGCTTTAAACCAAACTAAACAAGCTAATAAATATGCAACCTTTGTTTTTAAGAGCACAAATTTTATTATTATTATTATTATTATATGTGTGTGCGTGTATGTATATGTATACATGGAATCTTTGGTGCCAATAAAGAACATTTATTTTTAAGAGTGTGCAGACAAGTGGGTTAAATCTAGATTGTTTTTAAAGTCTGCAGGATACTGGCCCTCCAGGATTGGAGTTGAAGTGCCCAGGTTTAAAGTGATAGTTCAGCCAAATATGAAAATTCTGTCACTATTTGCTCACCCTCATTCCAAACCTGTATGAGTTTCTTTCTTCTGCTGAACAAAAAAGATAATTTGAAGAATGTTTTTTTTGCCCATACAAATGGAAGTCAATTGGGTCCAATCGATGTTGTTTAAGACCCTACTGACTTTCATTGCATGGATAAAATCATTCTTTAAAATATCATCTTTTCTGTTCGGCAGAAGAAAAGTCACAGGTTTGGAATGACATGAGAGGAAGTAAATGGCAGAATTTTCATTTTTGTGTGAACTATCCATTTCAATCATCTTCCGTTAAATCAAAACCTCAATCCCATGCAATTAAATCAAAAATATCCAACATATAAAGACTATTTAGTTCTCTTTGTAGAACAATAAAACCATCAAATAAAATCTGCATAGCTATGAATACTAGATTGCTAACACTAATGCATCATTCTGTCAGCTGTAGTGCTATTCTCACTTTCACGTATCCATTGTAATCTAGCATCGCAGAAGCCGACTTTCTCTAGATTAATGTGTTCTTGCTCAAATACTGCAGCCCACCCACTACTACACAAGATTACTGGTGGGGGACAAAGCCTGGTTTCATGCAGGCAGCATATACTAAGCTGGGCAGGCAGGATCTAGCAAGCACAGCTTTCAAACCTTCAGAGCTTTAGGGCAGGATTTAAAATCAGCATGGCTGCTGGCTCGTTCCAAATCGAGAGGGGCCGGGAATGCAAAAGCCCAAACCAAATAAGAGAAGCCAATAAAGTGGCCTTGCCCAATATGCTGAATGAGCTGAATCACTGAGGGAAAAATGGGAATAGAAATAAGCCACAAGCACTGCAGAAAGCTAAGGTTGCTGGCAGAATCCCTGACTAAGAAAGTCATCAATTATTAACAGTCTCTTCAGCTCAGAGCTTGTCTAAACTGATAAAGGGCAAAAAACAACAACAACAAAACAAAAAAAAATCAAAAGACTAACTGTAAGACAGTAGGTACCCACTTTAAGCAACACCCCCTTTTCTCTCATTCTCTTGAGGGTGAGGAACACGTTTGGTGATGGAAACAGACACAGGATTTTTCAGTGTGGATGTGAGTAGCTGAAGCCAGAGGTGAGTTTGTTAAAGACAAAGACTTTGTAGCAGACAAGGACTTCGATTGGTTATGTTGTGAACAATTTTATAGATGCCACAGCATTAAAACCTGAAACATGTATTACAACAACTGACAGCAAGCAGAGGATGTGTACAGGAAAAAGAAAGCAGAGGAACACAAAGCAGGTTCTGTGAGGACAGTCCTCCATGGCTCCTGAGACTCAACTCAGACCATTCACCACTGCAGCCATGGCTATGTTCTTTTTTTAATTCAAACCTCTTACTTCCTTGGCGGTAAATGATGAAAAAACTACAAATCAGCCATTATCTATCTTCATTGAGGGAAGATAATAAAAAACTGATTTAAAATAATAATTAAATCATATACATTATCGTAACACAATCTTAATTTTACATTTAATTAAATTCAACATCCAAGAGAAACATTCAGTTATATACTGTATAAAAACGGCAAACAAATAAACCAAATAAAATGTGTAAATAAAACGGATGTAGAAAAGCTTAAAATATTAATGACCAAAAAGAAGGTGAAGAAAAAGGTGATAAAGAAAAACTTGAAGGTGAAGAAGGAAAAGATGGTGAACATGAAGAAGGTGAAGTTGGAGAAGTAAAGTTGAAGGAGGAGGAAAAGGAGGAGAAGAGGATGATGGAGAAAGAGGAGTAGAGGGAGATTTCCTAAACGTAAAAAAATAAAAAAAATAAAACTTTTTTCATCAAATACAAACATACAGTGGGAAAAAATATTTATTTGATCCCCTGCTGATTTTGTAAGTTTGCCTACTTACAAAAAAATTAAGGGTCTGTAATTTTTACGTTAGGTTTATTTTAAGGCATAGAGACAGAATACCAACCAAAAAATCCAGAAAAAACACATTATATAGAAGTTAAAAATTGATTTGCATTTCAGTGAGTGAAATAAGTATTTGATCCCCAAACAAAACATGACTTAGTACTTGGTGCAGAAACCCTGGTTGGCAAGCACAGAGGTAAGACATTTTTTTTGTAGTTGGTCACCAGGTTTTCACACATCTCAGGAGGGATTTTGATCCACTTCTCTTTACAGATCCTCTCTAAATCCTAAAGGTTTCTTGGCTGTTGTTTGGTAACTCAAAGTTTCAGTTCCCTCCACAGATTTTCTATAGGATTGAGGTCTGAGGACTGGCTCGGCCACTCCTTGACCTTAATGTGCTGCTTCTTGAGCCACTCCTTTGTTGCCTTGGCGGTATGTTTCGGGTCATTGGCATGCTAGAAGACCCATCCATGACCCATCTTCAGTGTTCTGGCTGAGGGAAGGTGGTTCTCATCCAAGATTTTACAGTACATGGCCCCGTCCATTTGCCCCTCAATGTGGTGAAGTCGTCCTGTACCCTTAGCAGAAAAACAGCCCCAAAGCACAATGTTTTCACCTCCGTGCTTGACTGTAGGAATGGTGTTCTTGGGGTCATATTCACTATTTCTCTCCCTCCAAACACGGCGAGTCGAATTAATGCCAAAGAGCTCAATTTTGGTCTTGTCTGACCACAGCACTTTCTCCCAAGCCTTCTCTGAATCATTTAGCTGTTCTTTGGCAAACTTTAAACGGGCCTGTACATGTGCTTTCTTGAGCAGTGGGACCTTGCGGGCACTTCAGGATTTCAGTTCATTGCAGCGTAGTGTGTTGCCAATGTTTTGCTTGGTGACTGTGGTCCCAACTGCCTTAAGATCATTAACAAGCTCCTCCCGTGTAGTTCTGGACTGATCCCTCACCTTTCTCATGATCATCCTTACCGCATGAGGAGAGATCTTGCACGGAGCTCCAGACCGAGGCTGATTGATGGTTGTTTTGTATTTCTTCCATTTCAGAATAATCTCTCTTTCAGAATAGTCTCCTTCTCACTTCTTGCTGATGGTCTTGCAGCCCATTCCAGCCTTGTGCAGATCAACAATCTTGTCTCTGACATCCTTTGACAGCTCTTTGGTCTTGCCCATGGTGGTGGGAGAGGTTGGAATGGAAGATACAGATTGTGTGGACAGGTGTCTTACCTAACGAGCTGACATTAGGAGTGACTTCTTAAAGTGACAGGACTAATCTGTGTTCCACATGGGCACATAACCAGTCTGTGGGAGCCAGAATTCTTGCTGGTTGGTAGGGGGTCAAATAAAACAGCCCCAAAGCACAATGTTTTCACCTCCGTGCTTGACTGTAGGAATGGTGTTCTTGGGGTCATATTCACTATTTCTCTCCCTCCAAACACGGCGAGTCGAATTAATGCCAAAGAGCTCAATTTTGGTCTTGTCTGACCACAGCACTTTCTCCCAAGCCTTCTCTGAATCATTTAGCTGTTCTTTGGCAAACTTTAAACGGGCCTGTACATGTGCTTTCTTGAGCAGTGGGACCTTGCGGGCACTTCAGGATTTCAGTTCATTGCAGCGTAGTGTGTTGCCAATGTTTTGCTTGGTGACTGTGGTCCCAACTGCCTTAAGATCATTAACAAGCTCCTCCCGTGTAGTTCTGGACTGATCCCTCACCTTTCTCATGATCATCCTTACCGCATGAGGAGAGATCTTGCACGGAGCTCCAGACCGAGGCTGATTGATGGTTGTTTTGTATTTCTTCCATTTCAGAATAATCTCTCTTTCAGAATAGTCTCCTTCTCACTTCTTGCTGATGGTCTTGCAGCCCATTCCAGCCTTGTGCAGATCAACAATCTTGTCTCTGACATCCTTTGACAGCTCTTTGGTCTTGCCCATGGTGGTGGGAGAGGTTGGAATGGAAGATACAGATTGTGTGGACAGGTGTCTTACCTAACGAGCTGACATTAGGAGTGACTTCTTAAAGTGACAGGACTAATCTGTGTTCCACATGGGCACATAACCAGTCTGTGGGAGCCAGAATTCTTGCTGGTTGGTAGGGGGTCAAATACTTATTTCACTCACTGAAATGCAAATCAATTTCTAACCTTTATATAATGCGTTTTTTTCTGGATTTTTTTGGTTGATATTCTCTCTATCCATTAAAATTAACCTACCATAAAAATTACAGACCCTTAATTTCTTTGTAAGTGGGCAAACTTACAAAATCAGCAGGGGATCAAATGAATATTTTCCCCACTGTAACCATGGCTTGAGGGCATGTAACAGGAGGTGAGCATGTTACAAATATATTTTCAACACCTAGTCTGTTATCCAGTCTTTTTTTTGTTTGTTTGTGTTTTGGTTCTATAACAGCATAATCACAAATTAGTAGAAATTATTGAGAAGTCACAGCAAAAGAGGGTGGTGGCCTACTTACAGAACAATGCTCAAGGCTCAGGTGACATGGATAGTGACCTCACGCTGAACAGCTGGCTGCCCTACTCCCAGCCAAGCCCTTTGCTTCTTATTTTGTTGCGGCAGGACAAGCAAATGCACAGACCGATAGACATTCAAAAGCATCATGGGTAGGAGAAGGGGTCAGAGGTGGAGGGGTGGCCAAGCAGCTGCAGGGAGAGAGCGAGCAGTCTAGAGAAGCTAGGTTATTCATTTTTTTAGTAAATCAGGGAACTCCCTATTTTCCAAATATCCCACAATGCTTTGCCTGTTCACACATTTACCATAGTGGAAAACACTTCTTGGAACGGTTCAAGATTTATGATTGCAGAATAAGCTTTAAAGTTCAACAAATTCTGGTCGTGGGCATGTAGATTTAGTGACTTTAGCATAGTTATAATGGTAGTTTGTTCTTCTACCAGTGGCTTCGCATTAGTTTATGGCCAATTAAAATGATAAATGTATACAATATTGTAAATGCAGAAAAACATTAGCCAACATCCATCTTATCTGAATTCAACGGTTTCTCATTTGTTAAATATCTGATCTCTTTGAAGAACCTAACAAGTTAGTTATGCTTCTCGAAATCATTCGGCCTATTGAGTCTCATCAGGACTGCTCATGAGCACTGAATTTATGCAAAGATCTTCTTGTGACAGCTCTTCACTGATGAAAGGGATATTTGAACAACAGAGGAAATCAGGAGTGTGGAGCGTTGCAATCTAGCACTCTACAGCAGGAGATGTAGCGAAAGAGACAGAGAACACGGCATTTCTTTACTTTCAGTAAAAATGAAATCAGCATGTTTAATAAAGCTTGGGTACCAAACTGCAATACAATAAAGAACACTTTCCACACAGCCACACACATTTAATGCACAATGGCAAGACATTCCTAAAAAAGTAAAACCATTTAAAAGAGACTCTAACAAGAGCCGATTATATTATATACTGGAAGTGAGGTAGCAAATTCTGACGCAAGCATCTTAAAATGGCTTCTCAGGAAAAATGTCACCATGACCAATGGTCATGGTTAAAAATACAAGACAGACCCAAAAAAAAATAAAATAAAAAAGCTAAAACCGAGAGGCTGCCTTCTCGATTCTGTGCATAGTGAGGTATGCTTTATTAACCTTGATCAAATGAGTCCTCAGAGGAGCTGACTCCTGCCTCCTGTAGCAATAAAGCAAAGTGCTTATGTTTCCTCTCTTTGGCCGCCTGCTTGGACTTGAGTGATGAAGAGGCTCTCTTGGACAATGAGCGCTTTTTCTTGGATGGAGTGCTGCACAGGCCGAGGAGCTGTGGACGTGACCCTGTTCTCCCCAACATGGAGATAGGAGGCCAGCCATCCTTCAGTGAATTGTCCTCTTCTGAATCTGTGTCTGGTACAAATCACAAGAGATTTCACTCAGGATGGCGGTCCAAAAGCATGTTGAACTAAAAACTGATTCAAAACAATGATAGAAGACTATTATTATAAATGCACTGCCATTTAAAAGTTGGGGGTCAGTTAAGATATTTTTAAACTAATACATAATACTTTTATTGATCATTAATAAAAAAATAATCAAAGGATGCTTGAATTGATCAAAAGTGACAGTAAAGACATTTATAATGTTACAAAATATTTATATTTCAAGTAAAAGCTGTTCTTTTGAGCTTCCTATTTATCAAAGAATCCTGGAAAAATGTATCACAGTTTCCACTAAAATATTAAGAAGCACAGAAGTTTAACATAAGAAATGTTTCTTCAGCAGCAAATCAGCATATTAAAACACTTTCTGAAGGATCATGTGACTCTGAAGACTGGCTTAATAATGCTGAAAATACAACTTTGCATCACAGGAATAAATTACATTTTAAAATATATTAAAACAAAGTTCTTTTAAATTGAAATACTATTTCCCAATATTACTGCTTTTACTGTATATTTGATTAAAAAATAAGTGAGTATGAGAGACTTCTTTCAAAACATTACTAAAACTCTTAACACCAAATTTCTCAATGGTAATGAATAGATTTATATATCAGTACAGCATTTTTGATCTTTTTATGGAAATTACTATGATATAAAATTACTCCTACTGAGTCAATCATAAACAGTAGCATCTAAATGCAGCCCACAGCAATTTATTACAGATATTATTATGAACACATAATGGTTGATAGTTATCAACAAAAACTCTCCATTACCTAAGAAAAAAATACATTTAGCAGGAAAAAGCCCCTGGGGTTCTTGTAACCTGTTTTCATCAGAAACAAAACACTGGCAACAACAACTAAAAATTACATTTACAAAAAAAAAAAAAACTGACTTACTATTAGAGTAGCTGCTGATTTCTGACCTCACTGGAGAATAAGGTGCTCTCCGCTGGCCTTTTCCCTTAAGGCATGGATCTGAAGGCTTCGTTTTGGCAGCCATTTTGCTTTTACCTCCTTTGGAAAACTTGTGAAAGATACTGAGATCTTTTGATAGGCTGGATTTTCCCATCTTGTCTCTCATGTCTATATTGGTGAGCATGGGGACTCTGCTTCCAGAACTAGCCCTGGACTTCCCTGAGGAACCGTCTCTGAACTTACAAGAGGGCTTGCTGAGTTTACTGAGCTCAGTGAGGGACAAGGCCTTGTCAAGTTTGGATGCCAACTGCTCCTGCTCGCTCACTCGGCTCTTCTTCACAGCCATTTTAGGTGCCTGTTAAAAGAGATAAATGCAATTAATGGATTTAATTTGATGCATGCCTGTTCAACAAAAGCAAAAATCTGCAGAAGTTTAGGCGCTAGAAAAGCTTTTGTACAACTCCAGTATAATAAAGACCAACCTCATGAGAGAAGCTTGAAGATGCCTCCTGCTCACTCCAGCTCTTTTTCTTCTTCTTCAATCTCAATGCACTCTCTTCCTCCTCATCTCGGTTAGAGGCTCGAAAGCGCTTCCTCAGCACCTCCCCGCTCTCAGAGTCCTCTGAGTAAAGCACGTTTCTGCCCAACCTGCAAAACAACAGTGTTCAGCTGGAGGGCAGGCCTTGTGGAGCACAGCAGGGCCTTATCTGTGCCTGAGCTACACACTCACTTCGCACACTTCGAATCCAGCTTGCTTGAGGGTGGAGACAGTGCGCATAGGCCATGTTTCCTTTTTCGGGGACGTCCCGGTCCCCTGCGGGCTAAACTTCTGTTCCTTTCCTGCTGCTGAATCTGTTGTTGTTGCTGCTGATGATGTTGCTGATATTTCTCTCTGTGAATCACAGGGATCACAAATAGCAGATTGTTTGATTGTTAGTGGGATTAAGTGAGGTAAATTTGCATTACTGGTCTTAATGAAGTGGTGTAAAGGGAGGTAATTAATTGGGAGACTCACTCTTTGTCTCTCCATCTCTGCAGTTTGACCAGCTCTCGTTGCTTTTCTTTGTAGCATTGCTGTAGTTCAGCGAGTCTCACACGGTAGTCCACTTCCACGGTGTCCATTCCCTCCAGAGAGGATTTGGAGAACATCTAAGAGAGGAAGCAAGATTACCGCCTGTAGTTTGACTTCCATAGCCAGTACTCTCAGCAGCAACAAAAGTATTATTAGCTAAAAGCATGCTATGAGATACAGTGCGTATAGAAAAGAATCACCACCTTTAAAATAATCAAAAAATTTTGCTTTGCAGCCTGAAATGAAGATGGACACAGTTTTTGTTTTATCCAGCTGCATTTACTCAGTCCAACTTATAACATCCAAGTGAAAGATATAACACCAACATGTCAGAAGAAGAAAGAATCAGTTTTTTAAAAAAGCATCACCCTCCGGTGTCGTTATTTTGTTGAAACAACTTTTGCTTTAATTACAGCCTTTAGTCTGTTGGGATATGTCTCCGACTCTACTAACTTTGCACATCTAGACTAGGGATGTGCGGCTCTAGTCGACTAAACGGTACAGCTCCTACTAGTCGACACTGAAAACAATAGTCGATTACACGACCAAAAAAAACATGATTTTATCATTCAAATTACCGCCATTTTAACATTGCATTTAAAACATTTTAAATAACAAGTTAAAATAAAACTTTTGAAAAATAATATATTATTTTTAAAAGTTTATCTGGGCGGAAACTACATTTTTACCTCAGACCTCACATGCGTTTTCTTCGTGTCAGTTGTGGCGAGTTCTAAAATGACCATGCGAAAGACGAGAAGGTGTGGGATTATTTTGAATTAGAAGGAAACGGAAAAGTTGTGTGTAAACTGTGTAATGTCAAATTGTCTTACAATAACTCTACTGGAGCGATGCGTAATCATATTGAATACAGGCACGTAGGCGTTAGCTTAGAGGATGGCCAAAGCCAGCAAATGTCAATCACGTCATTCACTACAACCCGTCGGTGCTGCGATCCCGTCCGTGCCGTCTGTTCCTCTAACGAACACCCACTTCGGTGGTGGTGGTGCAGGATGTCCAGGCACTTTCTGGAACTCTATCGGCTTGCTTTTCGTTATCTCTGCGTGCCTGCGACTTCAGTTCCTGCCGAGCGCGTTTTTTCAAGTGCAGGAATTTTATTGTTAATCGCCTCAGGTCCCGTCTTTCACCAGACCACGTTGATAATTTCACTGAACAAATAACGCATGGTCTGAGTAAGTAAAATGGGCATTGTTGCATTTTGTTTTTAGACTATATAGCCTACACGAAGTACGTTTTTAAAAGCCATTTTAATGCTATTTCTTGATAAACCTTCCTATTGTTTTTGACTTGTGTTTTAATGATGGCTAACCTTATATGAACATGAAGAATTCTGTCAGGCTATTGATTGATTTTCCATTGTTCTGCATTTCCCCAGCTGATTTGAATAAATACGCTATGCTTTGGCCGACGATGAGTTGTATACGCTTCTCTTTTTTTTTTTTTACGACCGCCTAAAATGAAATGATCATAACGCGAGGCAATTAAGTGTGGCAAGCGAAATTCATTGAGGGATTTGACAGTGTGATTTATAGATTAAGTATTTCAAATATAGGCTATTATATATGCTACACGCACAGAGTTTTTCTTACCATCTTTTGGGGTTTCTTGCTTTTAGACTAGTCGGATACAAAACTTTCGTTTAAACGTCAGTCAAATTAGTCGTCGCGCACATCCCTAATCTAGACGGAGCGATATTTATAAAACATTCACCTTTTTCTCCTTCAACCACTGTGTGCTCAGTTTTGCTGTGTGCTTTGGGTCATTGTAATGTTGGAAGATAAACCTTCTTCCCATTGACAACTTTCTGGCAGAGGGCAGCAGATTTTCCTCAAGAATTTGAGGGTATTTTGCCCCATCCATTTTTCCTTCTATCCTGACAAGTGCTCTGCTGCAGAGAAACACCCCATAACAGAATATCACCACCTCCATGCTTTACTGTAGGAGTGGGGTTATTTGGATGGTGAGCTGTATTGGATTTCTGCAAGTTGAGGCCAAATAATTCAATTTTAGTCTCATCTGCCTCAGAATCTTCAAGGTTTGTTTTGGCAAAGCTCAGTCATGACTGCATGTGGCCTTTCTTGTGGATTGGCTTTTTTCTTGCAACCCTCCCATACAAGCCACATTTGTGGAGAATTTGTGATATTGTTGTCACATGCACACAATGACCGCTCTTTGTCATAAATTCCTGCAACTGTTTCAGAGTTGCTGTAGGCCTCTTGGTTGCCTCTCTGACCAGTTTCCTCCTGCTCTTTCATCCAGTTTGGAGCGACTTCCTGATCCAGGGAGGGTCGGTGTTGTACCAAATACATTCCACTTCTTAATAATTTACTTCATGTGCTTCTAGGCATTGATAAGGCCTTTGCATTTTTTTTGTATCCATCTCCTGACTTGTGTCTGTCCACAACTTCTGGGAGATCTTTTGACTGTGCCTTGCCACCCATAGTTGATTGTTTGCTTCAGCTGCACTAGCAAGGCCTGAAATGCTCCAGGAAAGCTATTAAAAATGCAGCTGAGCTATTAAAAATTACCACAGCTGATCACAGTTGAAAGTCAAATGTTTTTGTGTGCCATTGAGAAGGTGATTAGCTACACCTAATTGAATTTACAAGTCATTTTTAGGAGGGGGTGATCCTTTTTCCAACTCAGTGATT